TTAAAAGTAACAAAACTTTAGAAGAGCAAAGAGAGGGTATGTTCATATACATTGGAGTATTTAGAGAAAACCTGAAAATGTAGTTCATTTGCAGAAGCGAGACTCGAAGCAGAGAGGAGGAGGATATGATTCAGAGGAACAGCGGGGAAAGGAACGATCATGACCCACATGAGCAAGAGCAGTACTGGTGGGTGGTGGAAGAGGTGGGCTCATTTAGGGAGAAGCCGGATTGACTGGAGTGAAATCCCAGATTAAAGAACAATACAGGGAAAGAGAAGATAGGCAGAGGGGATCTGTTTTATGAAAGGCCTTAGAAGCTGAGCATTACTTCTTTAAGAAGGAGATGAACTAAAATGTGCAAATGTAAAACAGCAAAATCAACTGTCGGTAACCCAGGTGTCATAGAGATACAGGAAGAGCATCACGGATAGGGAGGTGACAGAGAGACTAGAGGAATGGCATCACCGAGTGCCTCGTGTCCTTCCAAACTTGTGCAAGTTACTACTATCAAATGGGTAGGGAAAGGAAATGTGGAGCTTTTCAGAACTTTCTTCTTTCAGAGATAACATTCAAAGACTCAGTCCTTGAAACCCAGGTTGCTTCTCTAACCTAGGTCCTAGGTTCTCTGTCTTAAAATGAAGCAGGTCAATTTTCTGGATAAAGACACTGTGAAAATCTCTATTACTTATCAATTTCTTTTTTATTCAACCAATGAGTGAAGTAATATCACTTGTCTCTGGCAAATAAGACTACTGCAATAGTCCTAGCATTAATCTGGTTTCAAAACCCTATGAGAAGGAAGAGGAGGGGCAGGTTATTAGTTATGGGGTGAGAGGAAGATCTAATACCTGGAGTTTATGGGGAGAAACAGGGTATGGCTGTGTGAATTGCCAAGAACTATCCCCTTTTCAAACATGATCAAGCACACTTGATGAGTGTAGAGTGCTAAAGTAGGATACTTGTTCCTTTTCAGGAGTAGGTGGAAAGTCCCTGTTCATGATTAAATGAAAAGGAAATTGCTGTGATGCTAGGATCTCGTCACTAGTAGAAAATTAAGAGCTGGGTGGGGAGAAGATTGAAAGGAAAGTAGAGAGATAAAGATTAATTGAGGGTCATCTCCCCACCTGCTGGTTATCAAAAGAAAGTGCAGGAGCAATAATGGAAAATAGAATCAATTGTTCGAGGCTCTGATCAGCCATTTTTCAATGATCCCATTCAATCTTTACAACTCTGCAGATAACATTTTATACCACTTTTTGGAAGTGATAATGGGAATATGGAATTATATTCTGACTTCAAAAAGAAAAAATATTCCTTCAGGGGAGCATAAATTTATTAAAAGTGTACCAGCCCTACAATTGTGCAAAGCATTCTTCAAGGTATGGCATTATTAGAATAAATGGGATCTGCAAATTTTTTTGCCTAGGAGTTCGGGGCCAATATAAGCTTACTCTAACACTGCAACAAGAGTTGCAATACATTTGTTTATAAAATACATCAACAGCACAAATTTGTATGTTTTAAAATATGAGCAAATTTGTTAAAATGTTTTATTTATATAAACTTATAACAATCTTAAAACTTAAAGATCGGAGTTCTCCATGTCTATGAGATAGTAACACTCATTAAAAGCATCAAGAGAGTATATTTCGGGTTAATTAGGGAGCAAAGGGAAAGATAAGGACCCCATACGCAGGAGCAACAGAGGATGAACGGCAGGGAGAGGACTCCTGTCTGAAGGGAGCAAAAAGTCTGCCTTTAGGCACCAGAAAGAATGGACAGAGTGGAGCCACTAGCAAAGGCAAAGAATTGCATAGCTGTGGAAACAGCCCAAGTGCCATCAATCCAAGAATGGATTAATAAAATGTGGTATATGTATACCATGGAGTACTATTCAGCTCTAAGAAACAAGTTGACTATAGTCACATCTTATATTGTTCCTGAGTTAGAGCTGAACCCATACTACTAAGTTGAGTACGCCCAAGAATGAAAACAATAGACCAATATAACGTCAGCCAGCAAACTGATATTAACTGAGAGCACCTAAGTGGACCACAATAGGTACTACAGTAATAGGTTATTGGGCCAGGGGAGGGTGGATGTAATACATATATAGATGAGTGAGATGTGCCAATAAATGCCCTTTCCCCCCGTCACCCCAGCAAGTCTGAGTTTGCCAGCGTGACTCATCCCCTAGATG